TGGAAGTCATAAAAGGCGGTATGCAAAAGCTTTGAGAGCCACGTTATTTGGCATTTTTTTTAACAATAAATTAGTATGTGCTTGTTTTTAATTTTATGATTCTCCCACGCTCAAGCGACGATACAGTCGACCAATCCAAAAATGTTGACACAACAGTAACGAAAATAGCAACTAAAACGGGCACACAAATACCACAGCGTTTGCACTTAACACACATGTTGTTAGACATTTCTGTGCCTCGCATTGCTTGGCTGTCGCTTATTTAAGTTTATTTCTTGGCTCTGCCTTTGTCATTCTTCTCGTTCTCGTTCTCGCTCTTGTTCTGCTTCTGGTTCTCGTTCTCTTTCCAATTCCCTTCTGCCTTCCGCTCTCGTTCTCACTTTCGTTTTGGATTTGTTCTTGAGCTCGAACTGCCCTGAGCGTGCCACATCCTGCGCCTCACACACACACACACACATACACACACACATACACACACACATACACACACACTCGGCTATTGTACTCTCTTTTCATACTATATTACACCCACGCACACATAGCGTATACGTAATAACCTTGTAACCAAAATGTTGTTATTTTGGGTCGCGATTGTGTGTGTGTGTGTGCGTGAGTGTGTGTCTGTGTGAGCAGCTTTTGTTTTCTCTGTCTATAAGCTAAAGTTTTTAGCATTATTTCGAGTGTGTAGGTGAGTCGTTTTCCTTTCCACTCACACAACGCACGCCTGCTCACTCTCTCTCTGAACGCCCCCACTCTCCTCCTAATCTAGCTCGCTCTCTTCCTCTAATTCTCTTTACATATCGTTGCTTAATTTATTTTAAGAATTGCATTCCAACTCTTATTCCTAAGCATTTATTTTCAAGCAAATGTACTTTTTAGTTCATCTACTACTTACCTGTATATAGCCTGTTATGTAGACTCTGCGTAAGCTGTTCATTTGTTGTTGTTTTTTTATAGCATTTCGAATTTCAATCGTCAACCAATAGTGTTAATTGCATTTAGAGCCAATTTAGCAAACAGAATTCACAAAAACATCTTTTTAACCCGTTTCTTTTTTTATAATTATTGTCATCATTCTGCCTATGGCTTCCAGCAGCATACCCATAAAAAAATATACGCATACACACATATAGTATGTTCTATACATACGAGTATACGAATATGTTAATAGCTCAAGGACTTTTGTGCTGCGCACTCGCTTCTTCTCGTCCTTGTGAATTTCATTAGGAAATGTTCTATTTATTACATTACATCTGCAATACGGCGCAATTGCAATTTGTTTGTGCCTCTTCGTTAATTTGTTTCGTTATCGTTTGTGTTGCTTAATTGTTCTTTTGCATTTAACAGTTACTGTTGTTACTATTACTTACAATTAGCATTGAACGGAACGCTGTTTGAACTTACTACTAACTTACTTTTACATTTACATAATCAAAAAGTAATATATTTTTAACTAACACCTCAACTACCACCATCACCACAGCCACCACCAAGATAATCGAGCAATGAAAGCATTAATTAATTATGCTCAATCGAATCAATCGAATAACGAAGTATCAGTGAACTCTGGTGGATTACATACAATTAGCATACAAGAATAATTCTTTTGTCATTTTATTGCCAAAAGATGCCGATTTTTTCACGAAACTTATCGATTGTAATGGCTCCAATAATTGGCTTTTTTATACGCAAAATATGAAACACGTTAAATGTTCAATTTAGTTTAACTGAAATTCTACAAGAAAAAAGAAAACGAAAAAATACAATACGAGATATATTTGTTTCAAGAATTGATCATTTTTAATTACATCTATATATATTTTGTTGTTGTTCTAAAAGCAAAAACAAAAGAAGCAAAACCAAAATACATAATGCGATTGCAAATTGCAAAACCAAAAAGAATTAAGATGTATGCAACTATTTACAATATGCTTTTGTAATATTTTCGCACAACAAAAACAAAATAAATAAAAAACACCCGAATAATATAAAATGAAAAAGTCAAAGTTGACGGTTGACGGTTCACGGTTGAAGAAAAGATGAGAAAAGAAAAGCAAACACCAAAATGCTTAGGCGAAAGATTTGCGAAATGATAAATCTTTGACGATAAAATGATAAAACAATTACGCCATGTATATGTATATATATAAAATATATATATATATATATTTTAATAGATATCAACTATCTCTCTTTCTATCTCTCTGTTGCTCTATACATGCATAAATATAACTACCATATATACATACATACTGTGTGTATATGTATATCTACCTATAGTATATATAAATATATATATATATATTACTCGAAAGTATGTTGTTTTTAATTGCGTTACTCTGTTTACGATTTGTGCTCAGGCACAACGAAAACAAGTCAACATATACATACGTAGATTTCTAACCACTCTCACTTATTGACCCTCTTTCGACTCTGAACATGCACGTGTGTGTGTCCTGGACCGAACCAATGACAAGGTGCCTATTGCCTCGCGTCACCGCGCATCAAGAGTACAAAAAAATACCTATTTGTATATTACTTTTTGATTTTGTAAATAAATAAAACCAGGAATAGCCAACGACATGCATTTAAAATAACTGTCTGACGTCTACACACACACACACACACACACACACACACACACACATACGCATACACCTGTATACACCTTCACTTATCAACACACTCACTAACAGCAGAATACCGCAGAGAACCCAAACAGCAAGCTCTTTCAACGCTCCAGCAACTGCAGCACACTCGAACACACAATGCTCTAACACTTTCCGATGGGTTTAAGCACACTTACAACACTCACACACACACACACACACACACACACACACACTTATATATACTATATATATAACAGCAATATGCCATACATCAATACAGTATAGGGCGCATTGCAACTATCTTTTGACAGAGTAGAAAAACAAAAAACTGAACGAATTTCGAACGATGTTTCCTGCATATTTTTTTTCAACTTTTTGATAAACCGATCTGTCTGTGTAATCTACGCGCGCTCCCTCCCTCCCTCTCTATCTCTCTCTTAATAATATTAACTGTCCACCTCTTTCTGTCTATAACACTCACTGTCTGTCTAACTCTAACTACTCTACCTCTACTACTCTAACTCTACTACTACTGCCTACCACAACAGCTATATGAATATATACATATATTTTGTTTGTTTCCACACAAATACAGTTATTTACAATATACTTTTGCACGTTATTTCTATAATGCATCTGAACTATATATTGTTATAAGTAATTTATGTTTCTTTCCTGCGTAAAAAATACCAGAAACCAACCAAACAAGCAAATAAACAAGCAAACAACCCAATCTTTACAAAGAAACTTAACAATTCAAACGAAATCAGAATCAACATGCATTTGTATGCCCCGTGCCTTTCAAAAAGAAAAAAAAATAACTTTAAAGAAGAAGAATATAAATAATACGCAACCCACATGTCGTATGCGCAATTTTCATAAACATAAACAGACCGAGGCCGTAAACATTTGCAGGCACACACAGTGTCAGACTCTTCCACACACACGCGCACACACACACAAACACACACACATTGTAGGGTTGTTTGTATGCGAACAAACATACCTACGAAGGCAATTCTAGTTGTTGTTGACGCAAAAAGGCAACGCGCCTTCTGACATGAAATACTGCGACACATGTGCCATTCACACTCACCCCCACACACACACACACATGCACACATACACACATTTGCACACCCTCTCACACATAGTTGTACGATTATGTGAATCCAGCCACCAGCAACCTGCCTCAACTCAGCTGAACTCAAAAAAGAATAACCAAATGACACACATTCATGTTGCGCTTCTTACCAACCATGCCGCCCGCCCCCTTGTTGAACTTTTAGGTACGGCTTGCCAAAAATAAAACTCCGACCTCTGAACTCTGAACAACACAACAGCCACATTTACAACAACAGAAATTCCACATATTAATCAGCATATATCCAATATATTAATTGAATGCATTTTAATTACTCGAATAGCCAACTAATACCTCTAAAGGGCAAATCAAACAACAAATTAATGAAATAAAAATCAGAAACTAGATCACAAAAACCGAAAATAACGAGAAAATCGAAAGAACAAATTAAACAGAAATGAGATATTGAGAACATTCTATTACAAAACCTTATTGTAAATTAAGCGCAAATAAAAAAAAAACACAAAGAAAAAAAGAAAAACAAAAACAAAAAACAAAAGAACAGTGCTGAGAGCTGAACTGAAATTGATTTAAGTATTGCAAGTAACTTGTAGAAAAACAACAAAAGTCACATGAAAATTTATTCATTTTCGTTTCTTGACTCAAAACAAATGGGGCCAAAATAGTCCGTAAGTGTTCGGGCAAAAATCGCATAAATCGCTTTGGTTATCTTAAATGTACAAGCAGAACTAAACTTGTTGTTGCCGTATTATTAACATGCATACATACATTTATAAACATACTATATATAGTATATATCAAGCTAATGTTTATTACTTATGATTTCAATTGAGCGTTAACGTTACAAGTACCTTACATACATCCTATATACTACTATACATACTTATATGAACTATATAGAGTACGTACCAACTTTATTAAACTAGAGACCTAAAAAATAACAATTAGTGTTGCATCGCGAACTGCGTGCAGCCCTAACAAACAAAATACTTTAGAAGAAATAAAACGAAAAACGAAACAGCGGAACTGCCAACAACAACAAAATAGAAAAACAGAAAAAGTATAAAAAAATAACTACAACTACAAAAACAACCAGTACACCAACAACAAACCTACACCAACCAACTACAATAAACAACAACAACAACAACAACAAGAACAACCATAAAGCAAGAGAGCTGAATAAAAAATAAATAAAAACAAAAAATTGAAAACAGAGAAACAGAAAAAAGCAATTTCCACCACCACAAAAACAACAACCAATTTGAAATCGCCCATTTCAGATGTACAATAACTACGCCGGCGTCAGCGGAAGTCCCCCACTGCCAGATATTATCGGACAATACTACGGCCCGGGCGCCTATGGTGCGCCCAACGGAGCGCTAGGCTATGGCAGCGCCAGCAACGCCTATGAACTGTACGGCCCCTCCACATCGGCGGGCTATCTGTACGACCCGACGGCAACCGCGGCAGTCGCCCAGCTGTACGGCCAGAGCTCACCCGTGCGTCGACGACGCTACAGCATCGCAGGATTGCCTTCGGCGACCATGTACAACGATTTCTATGGCTATCCGGCGCCACCACTGCAACAGACCTCCTCATCAAATATTGTCAATCTGCTGAACGAGGCGCACAAATCTATATCGCGCTCCTCGCAAATTCTCAACCTGACGCACCAGGCGCGTCAGTTGGGCCAGCTAGGTCAGCCCGTGACCCCGTTGTCTGCCTACCCCGGCCGCATCGTCTCCAGCTACCCCACGCTCCATCCGGGGGACACTTCGCCCCCGTATCTCAACGACAACCTGCTGCAAATGTCCGCGAGTTTCTCCTCGCAGCCAAACATGTACTTCCAGCCACCCGCGCAGCCACCCCCGCCACCACAGCTGACCGCTGCGCAAAGCGCCGCTGCTGCAGCGGCCCGCCTGCGTCCCGCCTACTCTGTCTCGAATCTCAATTACTTGGGCGGTGGAGGCGTCGGCGGCGGCGGATACACGAACAAATATGGCATGGGTGCCGGTGCCGGTGTCGGTGTCGGTACTGGCGCCTACGCGAATCCCTATCTCAATCAGAGCGACCTGCATGCCTCCTCCTACGCGCCCCTAGGGCTCGGCCTATCACCAGCCCAGCAGCGCCAGCTCATGTCACACTCACTGCATGCCTCCAATCCCGCCATTTCGCAGTATTATCAGCAACACCAGCATTCGCTGGCGCCGCCCGCGAGCTCCGCGCTCGCCTACAACCTGCACCAGCAGTTTGCGGGCACGCAACATTATGCGCAGCAGCTCGGCGCCGGCGCTCAGCTACCCGCCTCGCACATCCAGGCCTCCGTGCAGCAGCAAATGCATCCGCAGTACCAATACCATGTGCATCAGCATCAGAATCACCTGCAAACGCATCCGTTGGCGGCGCTCGCCAACACCAGCGGGCCGTTCGGTGGCACGCTGGCGAGCAGCGCACGCGACGCGATGGCAAGCACGAGTGCCGGTGGCCTCTACGATGCACTGCATCATCCGCATACGCATCCGCATCAGCATTCGCATCCGCATTCGCATGTGCATCACACAACGGGCGCGCTGCCGTCGTCGGTATCTGCGCTCGGCCATCATGCCTCAACATACCCGCATTCGCATCACCAACAACAGCAACAACAACAAGTACACCATCACCACTTGCCATACTCGAAACTAGATTTAGATTACCCGAAACTGCCGCAAGAGCATAAGCGACAAGTAAGTTTTAAATTTGACGTAGACACGCTATCCTTAGATTCCTAAGCGAAATTTCGCTTCAAAAACCAATTAGATCGAAATATTTAACAGTAAAATACCATCAATACCAGTAACAACTAACAACCATTTACATCGCAATTAAAAAGCATCGCAATTGAAAACGAAAACCAAAATCCAAAATAAAAACAAAAATGCAACAAAATTCGATAGCACGAAATGCATCAATCAAACGATCTATATACATATGTATGTACATACATACAAGTACATAATTGGCTAGCATCGCGAAATTACTCCAAATTCGTATTGCCCAATGCATTTTACGCTTTCCAACACTAAACATAATAATTATATCGATAAAACAAAGTTATCACAGTCTGTCTAGTTTGCTTAACTGTACAAAAACTCGACTAGACTCGAAGCGACGCAGCCAGCGAGACAAAAAGCTCAACGACATTTGCAGTGCGCGTGCGTTTTTATTATTGTTATTATTACTTGTATTATTATAATTATTATTTTTCCTAGGGCTGACCCTCACTTAATAACGGCCCAGTCGCCTAATGTTCTAATGAACAATTGAACAGGAGCTAAGACACCAAGTAATATACATACAATACGATATACTTAGTACATATGTATATACTATATAAAAAGTATATTCAATATAAATAGATATAAGTTGAAGACAAACTATTGTTTCATGTGCCATTTTAATGTAGCGACAACAAAGATGAAGAGATCAAGATGGGACGTAACGCCCATGTGCGTTCTTCTTTTTCCATTTTGAATTATACATACAAGTATATGATTTTTATTTTATTTTGCATAGAGCACTCAGGGCCACTTTTCCAATTGTGTGAGTAACGAAATGTATAAGTAACGAAGAAAAGAAAAAACAAAAAAATTCAACTGAAATTTAAAATAATGCTCTTGACTCTCAAAAAGTAAAAGACTGTATATAGAAAGAAGAAAACTGAAACTAAATGAGATTTACATAAAAAGAAAACAAAAACATTTACTATATAGTATATACACACATATACATATATAGTGCGTGCTTAAGTGTAAAGCAAGCGAACAGGAAATGCAATTTACTTTACTCGATCTTAGGTTTTTTTGTGCTAAATCCAAAAGCTTCAAATAATTAAATCAAAGCCTAAAATGCAAATTAATTGTTAGTGCAACTCTTTACTCAGCAAATTAGTCTTATATATTAATACAAATGCGAAATTTGAATAGCAACTAACTCTAGAACATACATACATACATACCTGCCCACTTGGGATCTCCCTCTGCGCAAAACGATAAATTTGTATATTCGTAGGAAATCTGTAGCCACACTAGCAGTCCTTTCTATCCAGTCTCCCGGCAGCAGAGATGCAAATTAGATAAGGCCCGTTTTCTTATCCAAATAATAAATATACAAGTACATGCCCCTATCTGGCAAAGCTACCCAAACTACCCAATTTTCGCTTTCTCATCTAAACATAGGAATGAGATGCAAAATAAATTTCAAGTTTCTATCCAAAATGCTCTCTGAAAATCAGAATTTTTCTATAAGAAATTGAATATTAGATTCTGTTCATCTATACTTTTAACTCATTTTATTGAGCCATCAAATGCCAAGCTGTGAAACGAAAAATAACTATTCGACACATTTAAGCGTAGAAGAGCGAAGATGGAGTAAAGATTAAAACATTTAATAGATTTTTCTCATTCAATTAAAATACTATTGAAGCAATAAAGTGGAACACAATTGAAACCATTGCTATTTGGCAGCTTAGGCAAAATTCAAGACCAGATTGAATGTCATTATTTGATTTCAAGCAAGACGAGAATTATTATTCTGTCCTGTAAATGGCAACAACAATACATGCAGCACATACTAGAATATAGCGCAAGGCTATTGAGAATAATCCTTAATTTCGGACTTACTTTGCTTTGGTTGTTCCAAGGTATGCTAGATATAGCAATGGATCAAATAGGCTGGACTACAAGTAAGTGTCTTAGCCATTCTCGTTTAGTTGACTCTATATGTGCAGAGCTACAGAATATAGTACATAATAAATACAAGTAAAGTGTCCCCAATAGAAATGTTTACTGCAAAGCTGTCAATCGGTTCGTAACTGCAAGTATTCCTTAGAGATGAGAAGACGAAAGTTCTTTAGACCCCTCTATATAGCCGTAAAATGTATCTACACAATAAATATAGTACTATATGCCAACTTATATGTTAGATGAGAAAACGGGTCTAAGTGAGTAAAACTAGCGTGTGATTAGCAATGAAGGTCAATTATATGTAAACATGAAATTTACCAATGTACGAGAGTAGGTAGCCAGGGCTCCGATACGAGGCGACGAAGGCGAAGGCGAGCACATGATGTCTACTATATGTGTGTGTGCGTGTGTTTAACACGATGTTGAAAAGCGAATAGGCGTAGCATTCAAAATGTGTCTAATGGAAAATGCAAATAATAAAATGCACTCTGTACTATTAACTAGTGTGCGGCTTTAATACAAATACATCTACAAGTATATATGATTACGTACTTAAACGCCTAGGTGCTTAAAAATAAGATTGAAATTGAAATCGTTACACTATTAAGAGAAGGAATTCAAAATTTTAAAGTCATAGTAGTCGCAATATTTTCGCCTTTGAATGAGTTAGCAACGCTAGTTGCATTGGCTTTTTCTTAAAAGATTTCTTAAAGAAAGTAAAATTGTTGTTATTGAAATGAAATTTTAAATTATACTTAGTAGTTGAAGGGATTTATTTAACAAATCAAAATTGGAGTTACTCTGCTTTGCATTTTCCCCCCTTAAATAAGTAGTTGTAGTTACAGCACATAGCAATACTAACTTGATAATACGACATACCTACATGCAAGCATACATACAAGTAGGATATACACACATACATACAAATATGTAGGCATGTACGTGTGTGCGTGTGTTCAGGCTCACAAGCTGAACAAGCAATAAAACTGTAAGTGAATGAAAATGTGTTCATAGCTACTACCTTTTAAGTGGCACGAAGCTGCCCCCACAAAGTGTTGTGTTGTTTCCTAGAACTTAAAATAAAATTAGCCCGTAATCAAAATTTGCCTATCGATTCGATTGTACTATTGGCACTGAGTTAGCCGAGTCCTTGTTTCCTTCTAGAGTTACCAAAGCCATCCCATAGTTACAAGTATACACACAAATACTCATTGTAGTAGTGTAAGCGTGTGTCTTCTATATTCGTACTCGTAAGCTCATAACTAGCCAATTGTAAGCATTTACATACACGTACATATATGTAAGTAAGGGGCATTCATATGGCACACATACATACATACATAAATACGATACATACAATTACATAGACACGGGGACAAGCAAGTCCCTCTGCCCTCTATGATTTGTAACGTTCAAATTATGGTATAATTGCAGTTAAATCTATAGATATTGTCGAATTTCTAAACAATTTTGAGTGACTGCAGTTTCGAAATGGTTTTTTCTGTCTATCTTTTTGTACATGTACTCGATTAGTTGTGTACTTTGACAACAACAACAACAACAACAACAAGGCATTTATAATGATGAGTCATAAAAATTTATACATAAATATTATACAACATACCATTTATATTACAATAATGTATGATTATTATGATTATTCTTCTGATTATACGTATATATATATAAATACAATATACAACAATTATGCTCCAACGATATTTATACACTGATTTATGTATAAACAAACTTACTTAATTAAGATTACTTCAGACTTAACAACTAAAGGCAATGAAATAAAATGAAATCTGTTAAACTTAACATAACTCTTAAGCATTATAAATGAAAAAATTTCAAAGGCAAAAATAAAATTACTTGCGAAAACCCAACTACCGACAACCAAATACATATACTATATACTAGATGCTCATACTAGTATACTACAAATACTATATTCGAGTATTGCGCCCAAATAGTGTTAAGGCTTAATTCCCAGTGCAGCAGCTGTATTAAAGCAAATACAGATACAGATACACGTACACGAGCCCCCACCAACACCACCACACCAACCGAATATGTCACAACAAATAACAACAACAACAATAAGAACAAAAAAAAAGAACAAAAAGAACGAACAAAAAGAACGAACCAAAACTACCAAAAACCCTTTGGCAAAGCATTAACGAGTACAACAACAGCAACAAGAACTACAACACATGCATACATGTACATACATACATGTAGTAGGTAAAACAGACTCACATACATACATACATACATACATGTACTCCTCTCTGATACCCAACCAGGCTCAGAGACACACTACTGTATCCTCACAACATATCGCATCAAACAGCCGAGGCCGGTCGTAGCCGCAAGCAGTCAGCTCTGGGTGTTCGTTCTCTGAGACCGCAACAGAAACAAACGCAACAAATACAACAAAAACAAACGAGATTGAGGCACAGACGTGCAACAACAACACCAACAACAACTCCAACAACAACAAAAACAACATCTCAAAGCCATTCTCACCATTCTCTCTCGCCACCCACCACTGCGCCAATGCGTTCGTTCATTCGTTCGCTAGCACGCTCGTTCGCCCCCACCCCCGCTCTCGATCCTACAGAGCTCATACGACATGTACATAAACAATTGCGCCGCAATTCACACCCCGTAAATGCATCAACAACAACAACAACAATTACAGCAACAATAAAGAGAACAACACGAAACTAACCCTAGACCAACAGCTGAGTCCCCCATTCGGGGCCCAGCTGGCGAATCAAAGCTTCTCTCATTCCGATGATGCGACTCTAAAATTTATCTCTTATCTTATATCTTCCCCTCTACCCAAAATCCGAAACCGAAACCGAATCCAAAATCGAAATCGATATCGAAACTATATACGAATACGAACACGAACCCGTTGTGTGCGACGCAGTTGGACGAGTTTCGTCTTGAAATACAAAGAAGGGATCAGGAAATCCTGGCGATGGCGGCCAAAATGAAAACATTGGAGGAGCAGCATCAGGTAATTGGCAAATAAGCAAAATTTTCTGTTATCTATGCAAAGTAAAATAACTTCCATTAGGACTATCAGCGGCACATAGCGGTGCTCAAGGAGTCGCTATGTGCCAAAGAGGAGCACTACAACATGCTGCAGACGGACGTGGAGGAGATGCGGGCCCGCCTCGAGGAGAAGAACCGCCTGATCGAGAAGAAAACACAGGGCACACTGCAGACGGTGCAGGAGCGCAATCGACTAACCAGCGAACTGACCGAGCTGAAGGATCACATGGACATTAAGGATCGCAAAATCAGTGTCCTGCAGCGCAAGGTCCCAAACCTTTAGCCTTCTCGGCCAGCACTCATTACTCACTCATACACAACCATTCCACAGATCGAGAATCTCGAAGACCTGCTCAAGGAGAAGGACAACCAGGTGGACATGGCGCGCGCTCGCCTCTCGGCCATGCAAGCCCATCACAGCAGCTCGGAGGGCGCACTCACCAGTCTGGAGGAGGCCATCGGCGACAAGGAGAAGCAAATGGCTCAGCTGCGTGAGCAGCGTGATCGCGCCGAGCACGAGAAGCAGGAGGAGCGCGAGCTCCACGAACGCGAAGTGGCCGACTACAAGATCAAGCTGCGCGCCGCCGAGAGCGAGGTGGAAAAGCTGCAGACCCGACTCGAGCGAGCAGTCAACGAACGCGAGCGACTCGAAATCAAACTGGAAGCCTCCCAGAGCGAGCTTGGCAAATCGAAGGCCGAGTTGGAGAAGGCCACCTGCGAGATGGGACGCAGCAGCGCCGACTGGGAGTCCACTAAGCAGCGTATCGCCAGGCTGGAGCTGGAGAACGAGCGGCTGAAACACGATCTGGAACGTTCGCAGGTACTCGTGCATTACCACCGGTTCATACTCCATACACCTGTGTGTGTGTGTATGGGCCCCCTATTAATATGCTCTATATACTTAATACTTATCAATGTACTTATCAATATGCCTATATACTATATGTGCCATATCTATATATATACAAATATATATATTTACATGTACACTTACTACAACTACAACTATTCGCATCCAACCTACCTACCAACTACCTACAACAATCTACAACAACAACATCACTACTACTTCTACTATATATAACTATATATGTATAACCAAACATAAACCAAATAGATGCAGCTAGAAGAACAGACCACACTACACAAAGTAAGCCTAATCCTACATATGCCTAAATCTTATAATTTCTAATCATAGACTGCACAAAACCCTAACCCTATTTATGTAGAACTAACTTGATAGTCATACTTGTAGTGCCAGCAGGTTTAAGTTTAAGTTGTGGCTTTTAGTGCACAATCAATCCCTAGCCAGATATTCCAAAAAGTAATGTTCTAACAATAAATTCACATTCACAAACGCGACTATTGGTGGCAAATCAATTGATCATTATAAATTTGATTGATTGAGAAGTTACCTACCTCCTTATAATAAAGAAAATATTTACCGGCTGTATTACAAAGCACCAGAAAATTGCACAAAGATAAAGTTAATAGTTTGGCAAGTATTTTTGAGTGTAGAAATATTTTGAATTATTCCATCCCTATTTTTCCCAACATAGTGCAATCTTATTTAGAAAAATGTAGTTCCATTATAGCTTAATTGTATCCATGAAACTAGATATTAATAATGAACTCAATCTATTTGTACATACATATAGGAGCACTTATTAAGAGTGTCCTTTTCTACTTAGAAGTGCTTTCGAATTGCGTTAAAAACCACTTGTTTGAACTTTCAAAGCGTTTGTGAAATGTATCTTATTGTCTGAACGTTGTAAGCTAACTCCTAAAAAGTTGTACAAGTATATCCCACATAAGCAACTAATAATTAGTAGCTATCCTTAGCTCAGTACATAGCACTCGCAAAAAAGAGGTTTTGATTTAAAACAAAATGCATTTTTATGTAATGTCAACACTTGCTCTTATGCAAATAAATTAATTCCAAATACATACTCACACACACACACACTTGATCACACACTTATATATAGTATAGTATGCTATATATGCACCTGTGCGGAACACGCAATTGAGAAGTCAAGTGTGGCGCATGCCCAACTCTAATTGAAAAGTTCATGCAACAACACCAACACCCTCTAATCTTCAGTATATAGCTGCACAATTCAGTGCGGAATAGTGTTAGCATTTAATTGCGGCTGAACATGCATAAAGATATATTATGTACTATCCGTATCGTACTTTGCAGAATGTACAGAAATTAATGTTCGAAACGGGCAAGATATCGGTAAGCGAGCCAAGCAAGGCCACAGTCGTAGCTATTGCCCCGAGCCCCGAGCCCCTAGTCCACAGCTCATAGTCTCGTAGTCTCATAGTCGCCCAAAGCTAAGCTGTCTCTATTCCACTTCGCCACTGTCATTCACTGCGGCTATCGATAAATCAATACGAGTAGCACCAGAATTAAAACAAACACACACAAATAACAAGACAAACAAAACAAACAAAGGCGCGTTTGTAGTTATAAGTAGCTTTAAAGCCCATTCTAAGCTGCACCAGAGCCTTTGTGCGAATTCGGCAAATACCTATCAGAAAAGCCACTTCAACGCAGTCCGCATTTCTTCAATGGCACAAAAATAATGTTGCAAAGTTGAAGGATACTCCACGTAGCAATTAACCTAAAAGGCTATTGGGACACTGTATGGAACTGAAATCGCTAGCCGCAATTAACTAGAAACACTTTTAATGTAATCTAATAACAAATTTAAGTGATGAAAAGAAACAACATTTGTCCAAAGCGTGAAATGCACTTAGCCCATAAAATCCAATATTAATCGGATAAACAAAACAAACAACAACAACAAACTCAACTCGTGCTCATTACCAAATCAGATTTATGATATACATATACAATAAGTAATTGGAAAAGCTTGTTAACACAATTTTGAGAAATTCATTTTATTGCTTACCTGCTGGACGATACTTGCTAATATTTTTTATTTTCATACTTTATATGCAACATACTTAAGTTAAGCTTCCACTTTTCATGCTCGGTAGTAGCTGCACGGCTTTCTTGTGCTCTTTCAACAGCCGACCTTTCTAGACAACCATACTAATTGTGCCTGTTCTATATTTCGCCCAACGAAGACCACGTTCGGACGCACCACCATGACCACGTCCCAGGAGCTAGACCGCGCTCAGGAGCGAGCAGATAAGGCCGCAGCCGAGCTGAGACGCACACAGGCCGAGCTGAGAGTCACGCAGGTACAAACATTTAATTACATATCAATCCGATACGCATACTATACGTGTACAAGCATTTATGCATACTACTTAGGCGCTCTTTTAGTTAGTTTTACAATATTCGAATTTATATACATACTCGTATAACAATAATCTGCATATCAGTTCGAGACATGAACGCAAATACGTCTAAAACAAGTTATTTCTATGTGTGTGTGCTCTATTGATGGAAAACTAACTTATCTCAACTATCTACAACTACAACTACTACTACTACTACTACTACTACTACTTCTATCACTATATTCTCCTACTACTTCTGCAATCTTGTCGGCGAAAGAGGGGTTTTTGTTTTTGCGTACATACTTGAGAGTCATTGATGGATATTATTTCCGATTCCAACACACTTCTACACTATGCATCAAATCAAAATGAAAACTCTTTATTCAAGCAGCACATATTGCGTTGTCATTGGATACACGGCTGAGGAATACACTCACTCTCACACAAACGCACACACATGCACAAACAACACTGACTCTTTGTACACTACCCCAAGCAAGTGCACATTCAAATCAATTGACTCACTTGTGTATATAGCTGAGTGTATTTGTAAGGATCTCAAACAGAAAAAAAAGTAGATCAATTTGTTTCCGTTTTGAAAAAAGCTCGCTGCTAGCGAAATTATTTTCGGTTTAATGTTTTTGCTTTTATACTTACTCGTAAATACTACCTTAAACTCTAATATAAACTAAGCTTGAACAAGATAATATTTCCAGTTTGGTCTTGTTCCTGCACACACCTAAACAATGTATACTAAAACCACAAATCTATCTAAATCGTTGTGCTTACATTCATTTTATAGGGCGAAACTGAAAAACGTTTTGTGAGTAAACGCTACCAAACAAACAACACAACAAATGATACAAACTTTTAGTAAAAACAATACAGCAACTAATTGGAAGAAATTAAACCTTAAAACACATTTTAAATATGCAAAAAGAAGACTGCAAAAATCCCAAATAGTTGCAATATACATACATATGTCATTTGTTTCACTTACTGTAAAATAACTTGCATTGCATAGCCTAACAACAAAGACATGTGCATACAAACATACTAACATCGCCCAACAAGCCTTGCCTGCCCACATACTGCATACATACTACACACATACATATAAGCATACATACATGCATACATAATTGCCTTGGCGCCCGCATTTGTATATGTATTTAAAATTCCACCCACAGACCTTGTACAGAATTTTTGTCCTGTGTCCACTGGATCTCTAAGCCCAAAACTAACCAAAAAACCAAAAAACTGACAACAACATTAATAACTAAGCTCTCACAACAACAAAAATGCCGCACAAAGACTAAATCCGTTATAATTTCATGTGTATATGCATATATTGAAAATACCAACCTCTCTCTCTCTCTCTCTCTCTAACGAACTCTGCAAGAGAGCTAGCTCTTACTTCTCATAATAAATTGGCCAATGGGGGCCACTCACACTCACATGTCACACAAAAAAGCTTTGCACTATCGCTTCACACCCGCAGTTTATTCGATCGTGTGCTTACGACTAAAGACTCGCTGCCATTAGGCAGCTCGCAAGCTTCATTATTCCAAAGAGAGAAACTCAATGAGTTGCTCTCGCTAATTTACCGTTAACTTAATAAGCGAACGGGACTTGAGAGAGGCACTTTGTGTGCTTTAATGAAATAGTGACAACAATACCTGCCGTTATCTACAAATGCAATTAAATGTACTATACCTACTAAACGTAACTAAATGGAGTTTTTAGTCATTTAGAGCTGCACCAAGAACTTCCCGTTATTGAAACACTGATGAAAAATACATATAAACGAGCCACTTAGTGAACCCCACAAGACATCGCACCACCCACACACCAGAGCACATGCACTTTACTTTTCAACTCCACCTTAGCTTAACTTGCCTCCATTGCTTAAACTCTATCAATGGGCGTGTGTCAACAAGAGTTGTTTAAACTACATATACTATTTACATAATAATGGACTACCTAATTATTTGTAAATTGTTATCATCAAAATAAAGATTGCCGAGTCTAAAATTTCAGTAATAATAAATGAAATGTAATGAATGTAAACCAATTATGAGATGACAGACACTAAGGGAAGTGGAAATACATATAGCCTTACCATCTTTGCTAGATTTCAATATTAAAGTTTGATTATTAACCTAGTAGAATATAAAGTACGTAGACTAGAGCTAGTTACCAGAAGTACATACTCACGTAGGGTGTAAGGCAGATGAAGACGAGGTTTGACCGACGGACAATTGCATTATCAGATTTATTGACAATTTATTGACATTGTTAAATCTTGCTCAAATCATTGATTGATCTGTTTCATATTTTCATCATACTTGTATACAGGAGGTTATTTATTGGTCAAGACACACGCCTATCTCTGAAACTTATACAGTTACTTTTATTTGCACCCTCTATCGTCACCTTTCACTATCTTTCTAAAACTCAGACTATCGCTTGCTATATGTATATAGTATATACTCGTATATTGTATGTTCGTCTCTATACTATACATTCGTCAACTGTCTATCGTGCTCAGCCTCAATTCAGCCAAAGATCGCTACATCTCTCGCTCGCTCTCAACGTTGTGTTCGCAATCGTGCTCGTATTTGTAACTGTATTTGTAATTAATTATTTTAAGTACTCGTAGCTATCGTTTGTTTTGTGTCTGACTGAACGGTCAGACATCCAATAAGTCAGTCTCACTCAGTCAGTCAGTCAGTCAATCAGCCATTTAAGACCATTGCCAAATGGTGCCTGTAAATAATATCCGTATCCAAAATCCAATTTACCCCCCTCCGAATAACCAACAACAAACAACTTGCAAACAAATTAAAACATATAGTCGGATGCGGAGCGGGCACGAGAAGAGGCTGCCGCCTTGCAAGAGAAACTCGAGAAGAGCCAGGGCGAGGTCTATCGACTGAAGGCGAAACTGGAGAATGCACAAGGCGAACAGGAGAGTCTGCGCCAAGAGCTGGAGAAGGCGCAGAGTGGCGTCTCCCGCATACATGCCGATCGCGATAGGGTAGGCCCACAGTCTTAGATTTAAGTAGTCTCGCCCATTCAAACCCCTCCTCCACTCTGTGTGCAGGCCTTCTCCGAGGTCGAAAAGATCAAGGAGGAAATGGAACGCACACAAGCGACGCTGGGTAAGGCGCAGTTACAGCACGAAAAGCTACAGAACTCACTGGATAAGGCGCAGAACGAGGTCGATCATCTGCAGGACAAACTGGACAAGGCGGGCGCCGAGAACCGGCGACTGGTGCTCGAAAAGGAGAAGCTCACCTACGACTACGACAACCTGCAGTCGCAGTTGGACAAGGCACTGGGTCAGGCGGCCCGCATGCAAAAGGAACGCGAAACCCTCACCCTGGACACGGACCGCATTCGCGAAAAGTTGGAAAAGACACAGGTATGTGCTGGCTTATCGGTTGAGGGCTCATTTGCAGAGTTTTACTTCAAACGAACACAAATACATGCGTACCCACCTCAGAACAACCTAAACACATGCGTAGACCTTGTGAACGTTTTCTAATCGATGTCTGTAAATGTAAAAGTGTTGTAAGAGCCCTGAATGTACATACAAACATACACATATATATAATCTATTCACTTACACACCATAAACTATATGTACTATATAATACATACTTCCTGCATATGTATATGTATATGTATACAAACATATATCTATCTTTCAACTATCTGATATGCGTGTACTACCACAACTGCCACCACTATCACTGCTCCAAAACATAAACCTTCCGAAACAGATGCAACTAGCGCGCATACAGAAGGAACGAGACCAGTTCTCCGACGAGCTGGAAACGCTCAAGGAGCGCTCGGAGTCCTCGCAGACATTGCTCATGAAGGCCGCCCGCGATCGCGAGGCCATGCAGACTGACTTGGAGGTGCTGAAGGAGCGCTATGAGAAATCGCACGCCATACAGCAGAAACTGCAGGTAATTTTCAAACCACAACCACACACGCACTGGCCTTCGCCGGGTCAAGCAAAGACAGGTGGGCGGCAGCAGAGAGGTATACCCAATTGGCTCTATAAACTATGAACGCTATGTACTGCATACTATACTGTAAACTGTATACTGCATACTGCATATAACCAAAAAGCATGACAATTGAAAATCAAGTGAATTAATTGGCTGTTTGTAAATTCGTAGCTTCTTTGACCACTGCTTAGCACTATGGGGCCGTTAAGGTCCGCTGGCAATCGCAGCGCGTCACTCACGCCCCTTCTTCATTTACCGTTTATATTCCAGATGGAACGCGACGACGCCGTAACCGAGGTGGAGATACTCAAGGAGAAGCTTGACAAAGCTCTTTACGCCAGCCAAAAACTGATCGATGAGAAGGACACCTCTAACAAGGAGTTCGAGAAGATGCTTGAGAAGTATGATCGGGCCCAAAACGAAATATATCGACTGCAGTCACGCTGCGACACAGCCGAAGCCGATCGTGCCCGACTCGAGGTCGAGGCGGAGCGTTCAGGACTGGCCGCCTCCAAGGCCCGCGAGGACCTGCGGAAACTGCAAGATGAGAGCACGCGTCTGCAGGAAGCCTGCGATCGTGCTGCCCTTCAGCTCAGCCGCGCCAAGGAGTGTGAAGACAATGCGCGCAGCGAGCTGGAGCACAGTCGCGATCGCTTCGACAAGCTACAAACCGACATCAGGCGGGCACAGGGCGAAAAAGAGCACTTCCAGTCCGAGCTGGAGCGTGTCACCTACGAGCTGGAGAGGGCACATGCTGCCCAGACAAAGGCCAGCGCCAGCGTTGAGGCCGCCAAAGAAGAGGCGGCGCACTACGCCGTCGAGCTGGACAAAATGCGCGAGCGCTACGAGAAGAGCCAGGTGGAACTGCGAAAGCTGCAGGACACAGACACGTTCGGACGCGAGACCCGTCGCCTCAAGGAGGAGAACGAGCGACTGAGAGAGAAGCTCGACAAAACGCTCATGGAACTGGAGACCATACGCGGAAAGTCACAGTATGAGTCCGAGTCCTTCGAGAAGTACAAGGACAAGTACGAGAAGATCGAAATGGAGGTACAGAACATGGAGTCGAAGCTTCATGAAACTAGCCTACAGCTGGAGCTGTCCAAGGGCGAAGTGGCCAAACTTCTAGCCAACCAAGACAAGCAGCGAAGTGAGCTGGAGCGTGCTCATATCGAGCGCGAGAAAGCCCGCGACAAGCATGAAAAACTGCTGAAGGAGGTCGATCGTTTGCGTCTACAACAGTCCTCGGTGAGCCCCGGCGAGCCGGTTCGCTCGTCCGTATCCGCGGGCGAGCGCCAGGAAATCGATCGGCTGCGAGATCGCCTTGAGAAGGCGCTGCAGTCGCGCGATGCCACTGAACTGGAGGCCGGTCGCTTGGCCAAGGAACTGGAGAAGGCACAAATGCATTTGGCGAAGCAGCAGGAGAACACAGAATCAACGCGTATCGAGTTCGAGCGCATGGGCGCTGAGCTGGGACGTCTGCACGATCGCCTCGAAAAGGCCGAGTCGGAGAAGGAGGCACTACGCCAGCAGACCCGTAATGGAGCGGCCGGCGGAGCCGCACACCCGCAGCTCGAAAAACACGTACAGAAACTGGAAAGTGACGTCAAGCAACTGTCCATGGAGCGCGAGCAGCTGGTACTGCAGCTGGAGAAGAGCCAGGAGATATTGATGAATTTCCAGAAGGAGCTGCAGAACGCCGAAACCGAATTGCAGAAGACGCGAGAGGAGAACCGCAAGCTGCGCAATGGACAGCCCGTGGCTCCCGCAGCACCCGCCGAAATTCAAGCTATGCAAAAAGAGATTCAGGCCATGCAGCAGAAGCTGCAGGAGTCTGAAAAGGCCCTGGCCGCCGCCGGACAGCAACAGGCGGCGGCTGCTGCGGCGGGCACCCAAGGTGCTAGTCGCGAAGAGATCGAGCAGTGGCGTAAGGTCATTGAGCAGGAGAAGAGTCGGGCAGACATGGCGGATAAGGCGGCGCAAGAAATGCACAAACGCATACAGGTGAGGACATTGCAGCTGTCCTTGAGACAGACACTTTAAATAAACCATTCGACTGTTTCGTCTACAGCTAATGGACCAACACATAAAGGAGCAGCATGCCCAAATGCAGAAGATGCAGCAACAAATAGCACAACAGCAACAGCAGCAGCAACAACAAACGGCAGCAGCCGGCGGCGGAGTGGATCCCAAAGAGCTGGAAAAGGTCAAGGGTGAGCTTCAGGCCGCCTGCACGGAGCGCGACCGTTTCCAACAACAGCTCGAGCTGTTGGTGCAGGAGCTGGAGAAAAGTCAGGTGAGAGCAATAGTATAAAACTCGAGCTACTATAGACAGTCCAAGATGTGTATAGCGGAATTCGTCAGTCATAAAAATATTAAGTTAGGCTTATACGGAAAACAAAAGTAACCAAAGCCTGATTTTGTAGCTTTTTCAGAACTCAAAGTAATAGTTGTAAAGCTGATCCTCTATCCAAGAGCCAATATATTCAAGACACTCCATTATCTACTTGCAGATGTCCAATCAAGAACAGGCCAAACAACTACAGACCGCGCAGCAGCAGGTGCAACAATTGCAGCAACAGGTTCAGACGTTGCAGCAACAAATGCAACAACTGCAGCAGGCTGGCAACGCGGGTGCGGCTGCCACAGATGTGCAGCGCCAACAGCTGGAGCAACAGCAGAAACAGCTGGAGGAGGTGCGCAAGCAGATAGACAACCAGGCCAAGGCAACCGAGAGCGAGCGCAAGATAATAGACGAGCAGCGCAAACAGATCGAAGCCAAGCGCAAGGACATCGAGGACAAGGAGAAAAAGATGGCGGACTTCGACGTGCAGCTGAGAAAGCGCAAGGAGCAAATGGATCAGCTGGAGAAGTCGCTGCAAACCCAAGGTGGTGGTGCAGCCGCAGCGGGTGAGCTCAACAAGAAACTGATGGACACACAGCGACAGCTAGAGGCGTAAGTCAATACTGAAATGTCCTCTAAATAGCCAAACTAATTTCAATGATTCGTGTCCATAGTTGCGTCAAGGAGCTGCAGAACACAAAAGAGGAGCACAAGAAGGCGGCAACCGAAACGGAACGCTTGCTGCAATTGGTACAAATGTCACAGGAGGAGCAAAATGCCAAGGAGAAGACCATTATGGATTTGCAACAGTATGTACTCGTAACTCGCATAAATGAAGAGCTTTCAGAAAATGCATGTTTCACAAAACTATTGGGGATACCGTTAGGAGAATATGTTACGAGAAACTTCAACTTTTCTGACAATTCCAATCTAACTTAAACGACGAAGATCTCGAAAGTTGTTTCTATTGATGCATAATTCAAATGACTGAAACCCTATTAGTTGACGATATTGAAAATTTACTTTTTGGAAACGCCGACCAAATTTAGAGGTAGTGGAAAAGGGATAACAGATAAGCCTTTTGGAAAGATTTCAGGAAGAGCTAGAAAGCCTTAAATCCATCGCTACTTAATTTTTATATATTTGCTGGTAGCTGTTATTTTCTGGTGATTTTCAGTCTTATATATGGCGTATACAGTGAAAACTCCCTTAATGGACACTTCTTTTATCCGGACACTCGCTTCGGCGGACACTTTTTCTAAAACATTCGAGCGGTGTATAAAGTATTTAAGTATTTAATTGGCCGACCTTGACTGTATGGCCAAGAAAGTTTTCACTGTACTTTAAAAGATCTTAGTATGGTATTGCTGAGATACTATAGTTGGATCTTCAGATCAGGTCATTTTTAATAATCTGCTCCCTTTTTGGTGACATATTTCATGGTGGGTCCGCACACAATAGTTCATACATCTATTAATAAGGTTGTTCCCTACTGGAACTATGCGAGTATGCAAATTATACCAATGTTATTAACCCTCTTCTTCTCCTCTTCCTTCCTTTCGCCTGCGCTCTAACAGAGCCTTAAAGATCGCTCAAGCCAAAGTCAAACAAGCACAAACACAACAGCAACAACAAGATGTAAGTGAATAATATCCTTTGCCTCTGTGGGCTCCAACTAATGGCGATGCTTCTATTTCAGGCTGGACCCGCTGGCTTCTTAAAGAGCTTTTTCTAAGCAGTGTCGACACACACACACATACACACACACAAAGATGTACACACACATACATACTAATACACTTGTACTATTTACGACAAGAAAAAAGCACTGTCAACTATTTTGTATACTACCGACTATGCAGTATTTATACTACACTCACACATACACATACAAATACACATACAGACACAGATAAATAGGCGTAGGCTTAAGCGTATGTAAATGCGAACATTTTATTTGGTATTTATACATAAATGTAAAATGTATTTAGGCTGCCGCTATACTCAAATTATGAATGCATTTAAATGTCTGCTCTTAACTGTATTTGTAAACTTTCTCTCTTGCATACCTACACGCACTCTCTCTCACTCTCTCTATGATCTCAACGACCGAAAGTGTCCCTCCCCCTTGCTCTCTACCACTCTCTCTCTCTCTCTCTCTCTCTCTCTATCTGTATAGTTAACATAATGTCTCTTGAACTTTTGACTAACTTACACTCTACACATACGAAATAGCCGCCGATGCGCTGAAGAGTAGACCACGTTCCAGGCACTGCATCAAATAGATTTTTCTCTCGGCACTTACAGACGAGCAAGCAGCAAGTACACTACCGTTGCAGAAGAGGCGCACATGTGATTCATGAAAAAACAAAAACAAAAACAAACAAACAAACAACAAATGAGAAAAATAACATTGCAAATTAATAATATGTATAATTAAATGAGAGGCAGCATACACACACATGCAAGCATGCATGTATGTATGTATCAATTATTATTGGGGCGCCGCAGCATGAGAGTTATCAATGATTTTATAGTTAATTATATGCTAGCCTCTGATATAGTTAGTTAAAATGAACAAATGCGAAACAAACACAATACAATACAACACAATACAATACAACAAAACTATACACAGATACACAAATACAAGTATATCGCTGTACATAAAGCATAGGCATGATATCGTACATAAAATATATGTAGAGCAATAAATTAAATTATACGTACATATAGTATATACCACATAATAATTAAAACTATATGTGTATATTGTAGTTACATTTATGAGCATTACAAATATATTGCGTAGCCTTTAGACGTGTACCAAAGAATTAGAAGAAAATTGATCGAGGAGTTCGAACACAAAAGCAAACAAAGCCTATCCGTACATACTATACAACTAGTGAAATAAAACTGATTGATCTTGCAAATTCAAATCGAAATCGCTATATTTTAATTAGTTAAATTTACACGGTAATATTTTTCCTTAGCCTCAAGCGTAGATCGAACTCTTCCTTGAGTGATAGCGCAATTTCGATGAAGGACAGTGGGGGTAGTAGTGGCTGCTGTTTTTGTTTTGTTTTCTCCGCCAACGGCTTTTCCAGTGCGCTCTAGGCTTGCTACACTTGTAATAATTACATATACCAATATATAGGAGCGATAAATAGAGAAATTCATCTGATAATAATAGCTAACAATTCCATTTCGTTAACGAATATTTACCCAGCTACATGGCTTACAGTTTGATTATCGTTTCCACTTCTGCAATTATTTATAGGGTTCAGTTGTTGAACAATTTAACAAATGGCTAGGCAATACAATATAAGAATTGATTCAAATGCAAATGCAAATGAAAATGCAAGAAATTAACATGAATAATAATAATAATAATAACATAACAAAATTATCACTGCCAATATTCGCAAATAGTCGAAGGAAGCCCCTTTATAGAAATAACATCAACAAATGACTTGAAATTATAGGTACTTACATATAAATAAATCGAAATATACTATATGTTCAAAAAAGTTGCAATATTTAAAAGTATTTATTAAATACATACATAAATACATACAAACATATGTATATGAAATTATAAAACTTACGTTGCTTTAAAGTCTTACATTTAAAGTTGAACTCATGACATTCAAACAAAACAAACACAATCATATCATATAACTGAATATCACGCAGTGAAATATTAAAGCTTGACTATATAAATAGAGAGAAACCAAGGTTAAACAAGCAAAGGATGTCAGCAGAGTCAGAAGGTAGCGCAACAAATGTTTAGAAGGCATTATGAAATATACAAATACGAGTACATTTAATTATTATTATATTAATAACAAATTAGCTAACTCTCTCGCGTACATCTAATGGTCATGAAGACCATTAAGGAAGGTCGACTGTCCATTACCATTACCAGTAACATTACCACTAACATTACCAATACCATTACCACAACCAAACCAATTCAAACGAAACCAAAACCAAACCAAAAGCAATTTGCCAGCGCCTAATTAGTAATCGAGTAACCAATTTAGTAAATTTACAATAAAATATATGAAGCGATAACTGAGAAATTTGTATTGCATAGACGCATTCGTTTAGCTTTTATCAGGAGACTATAGTATATGGAACATACTCGGACTCGAACTCGAACTCAAGCTCGAGACTCAGGACTCGGACATCGTGTGTGTATGTATCTGCAGTTAAATGACCAATTAAATTATGTGGGAAGCTTTCTATATGAATAAATCAATAAATCGATAGCTCGGTAGATCGATAGACCGCGTGATCGGCAAATCATATATTTCATTACGTTAATAGCTCACAATAAATTCAAATACCTAGACCTACCTTAACAACAACAAACATTTATAGAAAATAAATTAAATTATATACTCGTATATATGTATGTAGCTTATATGTGTATATGAATGTACATTATTTGGTCGCCGCTATGGAGGCGCCATCACGAGTTACAAGTCAAGTAATACAATAGAAAAAGTTTTGTGTACATAATTGAGGGCCACCTCGCCCACAGAGTTCCTAGTGGGGGAACGACGGGCAACAAACGATGTAGAAGTCGACTAATAAGTAAGAGATCGCAACCATTATCGTTATGTTTTCCGCCTCTAATGTATAGCTACGAGCATGTATGTACATATATTCAAGGTCGGTCGAGGACCCTACTTATCTTTAATAGACATCTCACAAATTATCAAATACCTACTAACATACAAAAGTATGTATATATAGTACATATATAGTATATTGACATTCGAATGAACCACAAACACAAGTCACACACCAACACGCACACCGTTCAAACAAGCAATCGACGACAAATCAACACGCTATCTCGAGTAGATAGTACAGTGGCTCCCAAACTGTGGGCCAACATCCAATTACAGTTGCAGATACTTACAAAAACGAACACAAACATTGACAATACATATTTTTCGGTACACACATGGACACAATCACAAATATAGAGAGATACACACACACACACACACAGACACACACCCATACATACATACAAACTTATATAGCTACGTATACAATAAGATTTGTTGATCAACGTAGATATTTTGATACAAATCGGCGCAAATGGAAGCCCACATATCTACAAGATACTGTTAAAATAAAACAAAATGAATGTACAAAAGCATTAATTAACAATAACAATAATCATCTCTACAACAACAACAACAACAATAACAAAAGCAAGAAAAATATAAGAGCAGAGCAGTTAGGAAGATTGTGCAGATTTTAGGAGAAATTTAAATTTGGATGCATTGGAAAGTAAAGCCGAAACATTTGCCTTTGACGTACTACTTAGCCCAAAAATCCTTTGATCGAACAAACAACTAACGGTACATAGTCTATATATACATACATGCATATACATAAATATATATACATATATACATACCTAACTTAAAGGAAATAAGCAAAAACACTTTAATCATATTATCCCCGCCGTCGTGTACCCTACTTAATACTTAAACTATCTAACTAAAACGAATGTATGTGTGTACATATGTACATTCGTACAGGAAGTGCGAGAGATGAACAAAGGAAAGCTTCAACTTTTTCTATACAAAACTAAAAACTTAAAACAAAAACTAAAACTAAAAGCTCGAAACTGTAATTAGCAAACTTAGTACTACTTAGATAGAGGCACACACACACACTCACATATACACACTCACCATCCATACTACTACTACTACTATATACACTAACAGAATACGGCAGCTGCAATGATGGCATGTGGACGAGGACGAGAAGGCGGGCGCGGACGCGGACGCGGACGAGAATGAGGATGAAGATGAGGATGGGAATTAGAATTAGAAGGAGGCATGTAAAGTTGGGCTCCGAGCTAGTCTACAGCAACAAACTATGAATTTATACGCGAGCAATGTTGAGAAACATATGTAGGCTACAGAAATGTTAATGTTATATATACATATGTATATGTTTTCAAATTTTTATTTTAATGTTGTTATCGAAAGCGACCCAAACGTTGAAAAGCAAAAAGAAGCGCAACCGGCAACCGCAATGATCTAACAACTACATGTTTAAATTTTGTGTACATACTAGACTACAAATAAAACATATGCCTAGATATTACATCAATATCTATTAATGAATAATAATGTACAACCGTATAAATAAATAAATATTAAAGCGCAAATATATATATACATATATATACACGTATACATATGTACATCAGTCTGTCAGGCATTCCGAATGAGTTCATCAGCAAATAAATAAGCAACAACAAACATTACAGATAAATGTATGTACTATATGTAAGCAGTTGATCTCGCACGATAAAGACGATAAACCTCTAAGTAACATAGGCAAACGGAAGAGAAACAAAAACAAAACCAAAACAAAACCAAAACAAAACCAAAAACAAAAAGAGAAACAATAGAAGCGGCAAATTTCGTGTACACATTTTTTAACAAGTTCGGTGATCTACGATATTGATAAATATTAAAATATTTAATATTAACTAAAAATATAATATTTATAAATAAAAATATATATACATCTATATGTATACTCTCTGGCTATTGACTGATCGGCTATATCACATTTGGCTCCACAAACAGGTAGATGATTCATTCTCCTAAGTACCAAATGCAATTAATATTTACATATAACATTTCTTTGGCTCCCTTCTTCTTAACTTCACCATTCGTGGCATTTACTTGTTAGACTACGAATGAATCATCAGTCCAGAAACAAATACATACAAGTATATGTATATGTATATGAGAGAATCGATTTGTTGGAGCAATAGTAATATATCGTTTCAGTAATTGCCAGTGTGTATATTAAAAAAAAAAAAAAAAAAAAAAACAAACGTGCATAAAGTAAATATTTATTATATAATGTTTTTTTAAGTAAGAAGTACTTATATATAAGCCATTATATATATACATACATATATATATATATAAATATATTATACATATATGAAAGGAAAAAAAAGAAAAAGAGCAAGAAAAGCGCAACCGCAGCAACTACAAATAAATATGATAAATTTATTCTATACATACTTACATAGAAGAATATTAAAGCGAAATGAAATGATTATTTGAAACATGTTCATTATATATAAATGTCATTACAAATGTTCTTCAAAACTGCCTACCAATAAAATATATTTCAAATAATATGAAAACCTGCATGAGCCTTTATTTAAACTTGAGCATTTTTGCAGGCCACCACTGTTTTATGATATTTGATAAAAATAAGCCCTTGCTAGGAGACACTATAATGGTGGGTGGTCTAGAGACCAACATTTTCATTTTTACACAAAGTCTATTTGCAGCTCTAATCCTTCAGCCTAGCCTACTCAGCACACTCGAAGGAGGTTGCAAAGAAAAAAAATTACGACATTTTGGCACCATTTGCGACATATACCAAGAATTTAATTGAAGCCAAGGCAATGATTAAATTAAAAAAAAATAAAAACAAGTCGAAAGTGCTATTTCTCCCATCGTCCCTTTAGTAGCTACATATATGATATAGTTATCGCATATTGAAGAAACTTCAAAAATTATTGTTCCGATATTGAAAAATTCAAACAAGAAATGGAATGCTAGAGCCGGATGTGCTCGAATCTTAGAAACCCAGTGTTCACTTCAACATCGAAGCGAATAAATAAATAACAAGAAAGGAATGCTAAAGTCGAGCAGGCTCAACTCTTAAATACCCTGTACCACCCCACAAAAAAATAAATTAATTTAATTTAATTATTTAATTAATTTAATTAATTAACTAAATTAAATATAAAATATTCCATACATGCATACATACATTTACATTCACATCGGAATCGTGTCTATGCGTGTTTGTGTACTTGTACATATCTATGTATGTGTGCATTGGGCCCGGTTACAAGTATATGGCTATAACTTGATCAACCTATCATAATGAAACTTGGTATACGGATATATACTTGTAATCACTAACTGGATGTGTCCACCAAATTTTAGTTTAAAATTCCAAGAATTACGGGAGTTATAGAAAATCTTGAATAGGGGGGGAGTGGGGGGTTGCATCGGGAAAAATGAACAAACTCGTCCTTTCTCGGGCTCAGGAGAATCTAGATACCAGATCTAGTTATTCTAGCTCTTATACTTTCTGAGATCCTTGCGTTCATACAGACAGACGGACATGGCTATATCGGCTCGGCTTGTCATGCTGGTCAAGAATATATATACTTTGTGGGGTCTGCCACGCCTCCTTCTTTGTATTACACTCGCACAAAACTAATATACCCTTGTACCCTTTGGGTACAGGGTATAAATATAATAATACATACGTGTATAAATATACATACTTTCATACATACATATGTATAACACCTATAAATACTTGTTCTTTTTCGTTTGCATGCATTTTTCATTGAGTTTGTGTCTACGCTTATGTATACAGCACGGACTCAAACCAAAGCAACAACAACAGGTGCGCTACGCCCATACTCTTCATACTTCTTAGACTTAACATCATGAGGCTTGATATGCATAATATATGTACTAATAGGGAACAACAGTCAAACTTTATAAAATATTTTAAAAATTCCGGAAGTTAGAAGCCCAAGGCGAAAAAACGGAACATCAACCGTAGGTGTGTCTAAGTAGATCTCATACTTTACGAGATCCTAGATGTAAGTAGTTAATGCAATTTAGGAATAGGCAGATAGGACTCAATCGTAGTGGTAGTGTCATAGTTTTTATATCATTTTAAAAATGTTTATTGATATAGTTAAGTTGGAAAATATAGCTATATGTCTATACTATATCGATTTGGTTTCAACCGTCGATCACCAACAATTTCCCTGAGCTACAAGTACATAGGTTACTACACCTGGCTCTCAGGGTCTTCCCCAGATACCAGATCGTTGACCGTGAAGTTCGGGTAAGATGTTGGTGCTACAGCAAAACCTAATCAATATTTCAACCAACACCAACAACCATTATATTTATTCCGTTAAATTTATTAATTTTTTTTTAATTTAAAAAAGGATAAGTATTTAAGGTATTTCAGCTTTCTCCATTCTCAGGTCCTCGGCTTTTATACTAGTAAGCAGTGCCTGTGTAGCATAGCCACGGTTCATCAATACCTAGTGCCCACTGTCACAAGCAACGAACGCGAAAGAAAGGTTTAGGATTACAGCCCGCTTACCGACTTACTGACGAGGCAAGTGTCAACGCTCTAAGTGCGCCACTTGACTTGCAGCGTCAGCGCTGGCTCTGACCCAATGACCAATCAAAGTAGCGAAAGAAACAGACTTATTGACGATCGATGAATAGGGAGAAGAATAGGAACAACCAAGGCTCGTATGCCACTCCACTTCACTTTCACTTACACTTACACAGTTGATCTACTTACACACATTAGACATTAAGCAAATATTGTTAATACATAAGACATTATATACATAATTAGAACATAAGCCACATTTTGTATAAAGAGAGCTAAATAAGCATACAAGACACAGTTCAGTGTTGAAGCTAAACGAACCAGCTTCACTCTTTCGTTACACCTGTAGTGTTCTCAGCATTGTTGTCTATAATTTGTATCTATTTATTCCGACAATCAGTGTGGTAGAAATTCTAGGCCATGCACGAGCTCAACCTGGCTCCATCTTTAGAAAATGCCGCAGAAAATACATTAACTGCTTAAACCTAATTGAACCTAATTTCTAATTTACATATGTATGTATGTGTTTGATGAACTTTTGAGTGCTTTGTATATGAGTCTGAAGTATGAGCTCCCGCAGCCCCTTAAATTTAACTAATAGCTGTGGTGGCCACGCAATGGCTCTGTCCAGTTATATTTTAGTAGAAATTATACTAGCGTCCTGCTCCTGCTTCGCACGGGTATTTTTACAAAAAATTTAAAAATTATACATTTTATAACACACATACCCCCTTCTTTTTGCTGTGCGTTACTAAGAAGGAGTAAAATTTGTTTTGGATATTATTATTTTAATGATTTTTTGTTCGTTTTTATATTCTTATTAGGTAGAGGTTCTCTTTAAAAGATATTTGATGTTTTTTTTTATTTTGTGGTAGCAAAATAAATAGATTTTCAGGAGCTCCGACCCGTGATAGGGCAACATACCGTAAAACATTGCTTTCGTATGTCGATCGCTGCTAATTCGAAGGCTTGGCCTTGGGACTACCGGAAATTGAAGCCGTATAAATGATCAAATGAAATCATCGGTATCCTCATTATTTGAGCTAGTTGACCAGTTGCTGGGCCGTTGATAATAGTTGCTACACTTAAATTGTCCTGCAATTCCTTAATAAGCAGCCTCGTCCCATTGCACATGCTTGGAAGGCTTTAATTTCTCAAAAACATGATTACAATTCCGAATTTTAACGTCAATTCATGTGGCGGCAGTCCAGAAGGGTTTAGTTACTTCAAAAGTCTTCAATATTAATCACGGTATCAATCGATTTGTAATTTTTCATTTGGCTGGGGGCTTTTGAATAATATTGCCTTAATATTTAAAGTAACAATGTTTCGAGGATGGTTATGAACTAACAGCATGCTATTCAGGTGTTTTTTAATGTGATTTGTTTACACCTTTGGTTACATTATTGGCGTTTTAATAATGATTCCATTCTTTTTTTCAAATATAATATAGCCCATGTTCACCGTCGATAGAGTAGCTTCCCAACAGTGAAAGAATCCATTAAATCGGTCAAGTAGATTCGGAGCCTTTTCAATTCAAACAAACAAACAATCAAATCTTTCTTCTTTATAATATTAATAATATAGATTATTTAATATAATATTATTAACGTTAGATTTCCAAAAATAACGGAAGCTTTTGTAGCAGAACAACACACCACGTGGTAGCATAAACTTACCTCATGGTGGAATGTAACAGCGGCATCTATTGGTCATTTTTAGCGTTGCCACCACAGCTAACATTTTGCTGGTTATTGCAATTCTTATAAACTAAGAACAACTAAGTTTTAAATAAAATGAAAAAATACATGTATTAAGGTAACATGAGTAAATTCAAAATTATAAATTTTGACTAAATTTGTTGTTGTTGAATGAAATTAGTACTGGCAAATGTATCATTTGTATCACGTCAGATGTCTTATCAGTTACAAAATCAAGTAACCCAAGTATACGCAAAATAGCAGGCGCAGCCCAACAAGTATACAGCCATTAACATATACCGGCCATTATTTATTTTTACTGCCTGCAAACGGAACATCAAGCTGGCCCAATTAGGTGGGGTCCGGGGCCAAATCTGGAGCCGATGCCGATGCCGAAACCGTGCGTACTTGGCGCTCGTTTCGGGGGTCACATTGGTAATGTGTACTTGCCTCAGCTCAGCTCAGCTGGGGGATGGGAATCGGATGATAAGGTGGAGGTGGATGTGGAGGTGGGGGTGGGGGAGGAGCTGTAGTCGGTTACGCCAGCTGCGTTATAAAATATTAAAAGTCTCCCAGTCGCAGGCACATACAACACACAACGACGTGTGATGTAATCATGGTGCCACATTATATGGTGAATGTAATATACATAGCATGTTTGTATATAGCTAGTACATATGTACATGCTGCTACTGCCTGCCTTATGTATGCCACCACCTACAATTGGATTATCGTCACTCTGTGCTCATTTCGCCATCTGCCCGCACACATCCCCCATAAGGATGCGGCAGCGAAAGCTCCTTACTGGCGTTCGTTAACCAACCCCTGGACAATTGGCAGCGAGCGCCGCATTGATGAGTCGAGGCGCATGTGCCA